AAGTTTCACTTTATATAATGTCTCAGGAAGGAAATTTAGTAGCAAGAGGGGATTTCCCAGATGCACAAGATAGTGCTGGAAAAATTGATTGTTAATAGTGATTTCATGGAAAATTCCATTTTTCTTTAATATTTTACTTGGTAGATTTCCAAGGGTGTGGAAAGATATGTTACTAGTAGTTCAGTCTGCATTTAAAACTTTCAGCCCTGAATTTAGCAGAATATTTTGAGCAAAATATATTGAAGTATATTAACTTTTTAAGGCAATACACAGACTTATACTTTTTTTTTTTTTGCATTAGAAAGTGGTCATGTGAAAGAGATTATAAGTTAAGTACCCTTGGTAGCATTCTATTTTGGGCAGGCAGAGACGAAGTTGTAGAAGGCAGAATAGCCCATGTAGGTCTACATCATAAGAGGCAGACTGGTGTGAAAACTATGACTGCAACATCAACATCTGAACAAGTTTCCAGAAAGCACTTGAAGTTTTATTGGGAAACAAGGGACACTCAGGAAGCATCTTTGACTCAATTTTCACGAATGTTAAAAGGAATGGCAATGTCTGCCCTGCCATGGCAGCCTTATTGAACAACTCTGGAACACTGTTCACTGGGGGTACCATTCACATGGAGTACATTATCAGTGGGGCCACTGAATGTATTCAGTGTGGGGCCTATAAACCTGCTTGCCCTTTAGGATTGTTCTGGGTGGCTCAAGATAGACAATGACTGTAAAAGGACTTTATAAACCATAAAGCTGCCAATATATGTCAATAATAACAATAACAGTTGCTATTTTCCTGGCCAGCCCTGCCCTTTGAGCATTCTTACCTAGTTTGAGACAGAGGAACATAGTCCCTGTTATAAGCTGGCAGTTGGCCTGGCACTCACAGTGAATCTGTGAGATTCTGTTGAATATGAACATGTTTAGAGAACACCAACTTCACATAAGACCACTTTGTGACTATGGTAAAGCAAATGAAATATCAGAACACTGCACACACAAATAAGAAATAATCCAGAACAAAAAATGAGCAAATATAACCCTCCCTGGCTAATAATGAGTGACCGACTGCTTTACCAACTGCAGCTTGAGCTCAATTTACTCCTCTCAGTGCCTAAATAAGAATTATTAAGATACTCAATCAGATAATTACCAGACAGCATCCAGGACAGGGAAGATTCCCACTTTAAGAATGCTCTTCAAATTACCTAAAACAAGTCCTAATCTTGTAGTAATTTATTCCTAATATCCTCTTACTGAGACACTCCATGCTTCCCCATGGTGTACCTTTCTCTTTGCACTGAGTCAGGAAACCAGCTTTCTAGAATGGCAGTTGTGCCCCTTGTGGTCTTTGACTAGAGGACATTGACAAGTTCATGGAGCAATTATTGCCCACCCAGGAGCCCTTGTACCTGCATCTCAGTCATTTAATACCAGAGCACTATGCACTATCATTATCATTTTGCAGATGCAGAAACTGAAGCACAGAGATTTTAGTTACTTTTTTAAGGTCCCATCACTATTTTGTGGCAGAGCCAGGATTTGAACCAAGGAAATTATATTGCTGCATCTGAATCTGTTCAACTGCTCTCACAAAGTGAGACTTATGAAAGATGGAGTGTGAATTGTGTTACACCTTAACATTGTTATATGAAGAGTTATTTTATATGCGAGCAAGGATATCTTTTAAAGAAGTTCAGTCTAGTAATCAAAATATTGATGTGTCTCTTTAGTAATAGTTTACTAAAGTCTTTGTATCTGTCATTTTATCCTTTAGAAATCTTTTTCATTGTAATAACATCTTGACATAGAATATATTGATATTAACTGAACAATTCTAGTAGAAAAATATGGGGCTTTGGAATCAGATCACATGAGTTAGAAGTCTTCTCCTTCAGTAACCAAAGTGCATTGGTTATTATGTAATTGTTTGTATTATGTAATTCCTACTAGCTTACTTCTTTCGTCTATTAAATAGTGAAAGAATACCTTTTTGAAGGCTAATTATAAGTATTAAACAGGATTATGTACATAAGGCTATATGCAATAAATATTAATTTCCTTTCTCAAAATAAAGTATTTGGGGCCTTGCCAATTTTAGTTTAAGTGAGAGATACCAACTTTGTAAGATTGTCAAGGCTGGCTTATGAAATACTGAAAAGTGATTTGCAAATCACAAACTGTGTAGCCACACTTTAGTTTCAAATGTGATCTCCATGAAGACAAGGGCCATCTCTGTTTTGTTCAACACTGCCTAGGACAGTGAATGAAGGTGGTGACAATCTACCCCTTGTCACTTTTGGCCATGGAAAGATGCTGTTATGACCAACTGAAGACTGCAGTTCTTAGGTTAAAAGCACGGCAAATTATTTGGCTTGCTCATTTCAAGTTTCAATTTTTTCAAAGTGACAAGTTCATGTTTAAAGGTCATTATAGTTCACAGAAGTAAAATTATGAAAAAAGTATCAGGTTAAAAAAATCTGACTTTGAGGACTTCCGCCAAGATGGAGACATAGGTGGAGACACTGTGCCTTCTCTCACAACCAAGTTTAGAGACAACTAAATATTAGCAACAGAAAACATAGCCAGAACACAGAAAATTGAACTTTTCGGAAGTCTGATAACAACAAATTCTTCAGCCTGACCAGTAAGAGGGGCGAAACCAGCAGCTGTTGGAGCGGGGTTGCACAGAAAAACTCGGTCAGATGGACTCGGGCGCGCTGAACCCAGGCGCAGGGTTGGACCTAGTAAGCGACTCAGCGAGCAACCGCGGGGAAACAGTGAGGGAGCAGGGCTGCGGGTTGACTGTGGTCGCACTTTCCTGCACAGACAGACAAGCCAGGGAGTGGGCGGTGAGACTACGGGACTGAGCAGGCCCCACAGCTAGCGGCAGCACAGGGCGCCGCCATTTCCCCGCTCTGACCCCGCCTCCACATACAGCATCATAACCCAGTGACCTGAGTGGCCCCGCCCTGGTGAACCACCTAAGGCTCTGCTTCTCACCGAGTGGTGAGAAACAGCAGAGGAGGTTGCCATTTCCCTCGCTCTGACCATGCCCCCACATATAGCATCACAACCTAGCGACCTGAGAGTCCAAGGCTCCGCTCCTCATACTCAACGGGCAAGAACAGACCAAAAATGGCTCAAGAAGACCTCAAAGCCCCAGAGCCTATAAATCTAAGTGATGAAGAAATAGCAAAACTCTCAGACGCACAGTTTAAAACACTGGTGATCAGGATCCTCACAGAACTGGTTGATTATAGCCACAAATTAGACAAATATATGAAGGCAAAACTAATTGAAATGAATGGAATTGCACAGGACACCAATAGCAATGAAAAGGAAACTGGGACTCAAATCAATGGAGTGGACCAGAAGAAAGCAAATAATGGCCAAACAGAAAAGAGTCAAGAAGCAAGAATTCAAAGAAATGAGGAGAGTCTTAGGATCCTCCAGGACATCTTTAAACACTCCAACATCCGAATTATAGGGGTACCAGAAGGGGGAAAGGAACAGCCACCAGTGGAAAACTTATTTGAACAAATAATAAAGGAGAATTTCCCCAATCTGGCAAAGGAAATAGACTTCCAGGAAATCCAGGAAGCTCAGAGAGTCCCAAAGAAGTTGGACCCAAGATGAAACACACCAAGGCACATCATAATTATATTAGTCAAGATTAAAATGAAGGAGAGAATCCTAGAAGCAGCAAGAGCTAAGGGGGCAGTCACCTACGAAGGAGTCCCCATCAGACTGTCAGCGGATTTCTCAAAAGAGACCTTACAGGCAAGAAGGGGCTGGAAAGAGGTATTCCAAGTCATGAAATCCAAAGACCTACAACCAAGATTGCTCTATCCAGCAAAACTTTCATTTAGAATGGAAGGACAGATAAAGTGCTTCTCAGATAAGATCAAATTCAAGGAGTTCATCATCACCAAGCCCTTATTATATGAAATGTTAAAGGGACTTATCTAAGAAAAAGAAGATAAAAAAGATGAACAGTGAAAGGACAGCAAACTCACAGTTATTAACAACCACACCTAAAACGAAAGCAAACTAAAAGGCCAGCTAGATCAGGAGTGGAAACATAGAAATGAAGATCTCAAGGAGGGTTAGCAATAGGGGAGTGGGAGGAGGAAAAGGAGAAAGAAGGTACAGGAAATAAGTAGCATAGACAATAGATAGAAAATTGATGGGGGGGCAAGAATAGCATGGGAAATATAGAATCTAAAGAACTTGAGACACATGGTCATAAACTAAAGGGGAGGGTAATGGTGAGGATGGGGGGGTAGGGTGGAGGGGAAAGAAGGGGGAAATAGAACAACTGTAATGGCATAATCAATAAAAAATAAATTAAAAAAATAAAAAAGTCACTTTGAAATTTAAGAAAATTTTAAGAAATTACTGACATTTAGTGCTTTTATATGCATTATATTAATTATATAATTAAAATTAAAAGTTTACATAGAGGATTAAAAAAATCTTTGCAGCCAATTTCCAATAATTATATAAATTCCAGACTGTATTCAATGCAGTAGTATTTTCTGTTACCTACTTAGAAAATTAAAAATTATTACATATTTATAAATAATATGTGTACAACTGCAAACATTGGGTGAAAGATATTTTATTTCAAGTATAATTAGATATTAAGTTTATTCCTCTTAATAGACTTAGTCAAAACTCATCTGATTGAATGATTAAATGAATCTCCTTAAAAACTAACTATGAAATTGAAATACTAACTCCTTATAGATGAAAATGTCTTACATTCTACCAAGTAAAATATTAAGACAACCTTGTGTTTTAACTGTTATCCCTATTGAGATATGATGGGGCTAATAAGTGATATTCTTTATCCAAAGTTCAGAACCAACTGAGAAGTAAGGAAAAGAGCAGTAGAGATGGATATCAAAATGTGAACTTTATCCTGAAATTTGGAGAATGTGATTTAGAGCTACTGGCAAGTGGGCTTACTAATCATCTACCATCTAATTACAGGAAGGATAAACCAAGCCTTCCCCATGGAGTCTGCCCTGTCAGTGTGTTATGTGGAGGAACTGAACACATTCTGAAACTAGAAGATTCCAAAGAGAAAAAAAAGAGAAAGCAATCAGCCACTATATTCCCAAACTCACAAGTCAGGTAGGATGCTTCTCTTCCCCTAGAATGGAGTACAGGCAGTGTGAGGGCAACTTTGCCAGGAAGTACCCCCGTCTGCCACAGATGAAAGTAACACTACCAAGACATGATCTGCTTGGGGAAGAGAGGTGGTCAATCTCTCAGAGAAGGACTAAGAACCTCTTCTTCAATGGCTTTTATTAGGTTCAGAACACATAGGAATACATATAAAGCTCATCAATCAATGTCAGGCAGCAAGGATCAAACAATAGATAACATTTCAAAGAGATCTGAGGGCTTAGTCTGAGTCAGTGTCTGTCAAATAACAGGGTTGCAAAAACTTTGGGACACATACTCATTTCCAGCTCAGACCCTTAACATATGAATGAAAGCACTCTTAGCAAAGCAGGCTTCACAGGACTTTAGGAACTCTTTCTCATGCCAAATCACCCCAGAATCTGCTGTAGCCGGCAAGGGGATACACTGCTACCCCCATCATGGGTTTTAGGCTTAAATGGATTAGAGCCAGGAGGCGCTTCTCCCAGACAGAAATGGGGACTCAGGCTATGTCAGAATAGCTGGGGGGTGAGGGTCCATCACTCCCTCTTTGTTGCAGCCCCCCGAGTCCTTCCTGGATGGCCTCCCAAGTGATCATGTCTGGCTTAGGTTGCCCCCCCTCTGAGGAGTTGTACCCGTCTCTGACTAGCCAACCAAGCGTTGGGGGCAGGGAATGAAGCAGAAGCAGTGCTGCTGCCAGAGATAAGCTTTGTCTCTTTAGTGGCTCACCTTCTGGAGGTTGCTCACTCATCCTTACCAATGGGGGTCAGTTACAACTCCTGAAACCAGGCAGAGCAGTTCCCAACACAGCAGGTGTGGAGGGGTGACTGATGGGCAGCAGGACTCTAGCTGTGGTATTCCTATGAAAGGATATCTCCTCCAATGATGAAGTATCTGGAATGGTGGGATGGTGGTAAAGATTCTCCACAACACCTTCCATTTTAACAATGTGGTAGCTGAGCCTAAAAGCAAAGTACTAGCTTCAGGTACCCTAAGTAGAGATGCTAGGACTGGGAGTAAAGGAGAGGTCTTGTTCATAAAGTCCATGGTATGGTCTCCCAGAGTTATAGTGAAAATGGGCCCTGTGTATGTAAAAGTGCAGCCAAATGGCACATATTTGCAGCTTTCTTCGTATTTGCTTTCTGTTGAGGTGATGGCCTTGAGGGGTGCATAAACCAAATTAAGTGCCTAAGACACCCAGTCATTAAGAAGTGTGTGACACAAGTATTGAATAGAAACACTGTGAAGAGATTCTGTGATGTTCACACTGAAGAGTGGAGGATGGAATCGTGGTTATTTTGTAGAGCGAAAGTAGTTGAGAAGAACTGTGGGAAGAGGTGATGTGGAAGTGTAGGTCAGTGAGAGAATCATTGTTGACATGACAGATGGGAAGAAAGCTACTCCTAGAAACTTCTGGCACATTTTAGGGAGTACTAGGAAGTGCCAAGATGGGAAGGTGTCTTTTGGGACCATTAGTGGGGCTGTGTTCCATGGTGAAGCTTGTGTGCACCCTCTTATCCCTAACCCCAGGGGCACATATTTTAAGAGTTGGTGCCATTATATTAGTTTGCAATACCTTATCTGTAATTTGTGAGTAGATGGGCCAAGGCTCTAGAAATCTCTGCAATATTTGCTCGGTCTTAATTACTCATATAAAAACATCTTAATAGGGTCATGCTTTGTTGCAGTCTCTATTTTAATACCTGTGGTAGCTATCTTTGCTGGAAATTGCTTTCTTCATTTGTGAGAATTACACTAGGAATGAAAGAGATGATACCTGGAAATGCTTCATGAATGTGATGTACTAACTAATTTCAGTTCTCAGTCATGGCTCTACTCTAAGTTTTTCTTTATTCTGGTTTCAGATCATTTGAGGGTGAATACTGTGCTAGGTACATACAGAAAAACACAGCATATTTCCTGCCTCCCAGGAGTTTCAAGAAAGGATAGAATGGGTTTTAGAGACTTAGCAATTACTCCATCCTTGGGTGTTTTCCTTTTGACATAGGTTCTAAAATTAATCTTTTGTGAGGAGCTCAAGGAATATTTCTGCACTAACATAAGATAAGCAGATAAAGTAAATGGATGCAAACACTTTCATTCACACAATGTAGCATGTGACCTTACACGTGAAAATGGGTGAAATGCGTGAAGAATAACCAAACTGGCTTTTAGGATCTGGCTGCACAGTGAGTTTTGGCTTATTATCTCTCCTGTGCCTGCTGTAACTTATATTTGTTTATATAATTATGAGATCTAACCTCTTAGCAAAAGCTTGACACTATGACTTTGAATGCAGTTAAGTCACAACTTGATTAAGTAAACATTTTCTAATGTAACTCTTACTAAACATCACAACAGTGAAAGTATTCTGAAGCCTCTATTTGCCTGAGTCTCTGTTCACAGTACTAATGCAACAGATTGCCTGCCTAGGTCTGTGGGGTGCTTGCTTTGACTGTTGAGCTTCCCCACACCACAAAAAGAGCTTCCATTAGTCTTCAGAAAGTGGAGAAGTTCAGCATCTGTCCACCTCAAACACTGATGGAGTTACTTCATTAGTTAGCTCTTAAAAACAAAACAGCTAGATGACAGTTGGATGCCTATTGATCTATGAGATAAAAATTCCCTTGGAATTGCATACTAATTTGAAAAGATAAATACTGCTCCCTATCTTCTGGTTATGACATGGAACCTGGGGTGGGGATGAGGCCAGCTGGAAGGCATCGTTGAGCCAGGGCCCTGAGTTGTGCTGGACTGCGTAAGCCTTGGGACTCTATGGCTGATTATGGATAATGGGGGGGGGAAATAATATCATCCTGTGAGACTTTTGAGTCAATTATGTAGTAGATTCTCATCCAAGTTGGACAGATGTCTAAAAGGAGTATGAAATGCTTGGGTGCCAAGCTTTTTATGCTTACCATGATGTAGATTGACAGAGCAAAGGAACAATTTTTAGGCAAAGAGAAAATTGCTAGAGTAGCTTTACTTGGGGGGTGGGTAGAATGCAGGAGGGTTCATCCTAGCTTCTATGTGTGCCCAGAGTAGATGCCTAGTTTACTATATGGACTTGGGGTCAGTAAAGAAAGTCTTATATACATAGATGTATGCATGTAGTATGTGACTATATAATATGTATTATATGTAGGTACCTATGTACTATAGGTATATATTACACATGTACATACATTATGGAAACACATAAAATATATTACATATATGCCTCTATATGTAGCATGTATTCATTGATATATTGCAGGCATGTGTAATATATAATACATAGATAGTATATTACAAGTATGTCTTACATACTATATCCATGTGTGGTATGTTAAATATATAAGTATAGGCACACATGCAACACACCATACATGCAATGTGTGGACACATGCATGTAACACAGGCCTGCATGCACGTAATATAAACACATGCATGTAATATAGCTGTGATACGCACATGCATGTGTTGAGTATAGATACATAGCATTGTTAATGTGAGAATGGTTTGCATGACATCAGTGTAACCCGACAGCCAAGGAGAGCTGACTGAAATGTGCATGTGTGAACCATGATGATTTTGCTGTATCAGTCAGTGGGAACCATAGATGCCATTGAGTGAGTATGTGTACTATGTGTCCATCACATTCAAAATGACTGAGTGAATAGAGCAATGAATCTTCATTAAATTTTGTGTTAAGCTTGAACATTTCTATGCAGAAACTATGCATATGTTATACACATGTACCTATATATCACAAATATACTATTACACACATTATATGATTATACCTATGTATTGCACTTATAATATACATATGCATTACATACATGTAGCCATCTTTTACATTAGTTCATATACTTCCATTGCATAAAATTTGGAAAAATTAAAAGGGGATATAATGAAGGTAGTCTCTTGCACCTGATTTCCTTTCCAGAAGGTGAGTTACAAGGCTAGTTTCTTAATCTTCCTTTCCTTGTTCTAGCTGATGAGCCTGCCCAAGCCTGAGAACATCTGCTCAGAACCTTTTCAGCTTCTGCATTTTCCTGTCTGGTTAAATTTCACCTGTTTACCTTTTTCAAAGCCTTCATACTTTATCTATCCTCTGTATTCACTTTTCAGTACTCTCTAGCAGGCTTCCTGTATCTCACTCCTGCATGAATGTCTCCCTACTTCCTAGATGTCATTCACATGTTTTGTTTTGTGTTCTGTCCAAAATCTGTTTCTTTGAGACTGAGATCAGACTGATTTCCCCTGATTGCTTCACTCATTGATTCCCTTCCTCTATGCAGGCATTCTATGAACTGGGTTATTTGAGCTCCTGATTTTAGTATTCCAGAATGATTCCAAAACACATTAAATAAAATATTAAGTAGCATCATTTGGGCTGTAACTATACAAATCCCAAAACAGGTGATGAGAGTTCTCAGACATTACAATTAGATATTTGTCTTTCATTAATAAAAAGAACACTTACAAAATCTTTCAAAATAAGGTCTATGGAGGAAGAGAATAAAATGTGTCTGTGATGGGGAGAAGTTGCAAAACACTGAATTCACACACTTAGTGCTGAATTATGTAGCAAAGTGCTTGAGAATGTAATGTCGAAGTCAGACCTGAGTGTGAACTACTTTTGTGACTTTGGGCAGTTTGCATTATCTTCTATATCCTTGGTTTCTCACAGAGGAATGAAATGATGTTAGTAGAATATTCAGCAAAATGCCTGTTGTACAGCAAATGTTCAGTAATTCTATGTGTTGTTGTTGTTTTATCTATGTACTGTTGTGTAGTTTGTCTCCTGGGATAGGCAGAAAAGTTGCCCCTTTTCCCTCCAAAGGTCCGCGTCTTAATCCCTGGAACCTCTGAATGTTACCTTACATGGGAAAGGGGGTTTTAGCATACATGATTAAATCAAGGATCTTAAAATAGATATTATCCTGTGTTATACAGGTAGGCCCAATGTTATTACAAGG